TCTCTCTCTCTCTCTCTCTCTCTCTCTCTCTCTCTCTCTCTCTCTCTCTCTCTCTCTCTCTCTCTCTCTCTCTCTCTCTCTCTCTCTTTGTTGTTGTCCTCTGTGCAGGTACTCATCTTCTTCCGCAGCGTGGCTATGGCGGACCTCTTCTTCAAGGTTGGCGCACTTCGCTATGGCGCCCACGCGTCTCTCTCCTGCCGCAACGGCGATGGCGCATGGAGTAGCGGGTACCAGCTCCGATACCAGTGCAATCAGACTCGCATTCATTCACACTTCACATGTATGCAAACAGGTTGCGCAGCAAACTGGCGTCAAGCACCCACTCAGAACTCAGAGATATAGTACCAAGAACTCAGTTCAGATACAAGTTCACTTCCACTGGCTATGGCGGCACATCGCCTGTACCACTCTCTGTTCGTCACTCACTCGACACCGCTGTTCGCACACAGGATCGCCCTGGATACCCCACACGCATCACTCTGCACACTCACACACACACGCACACATCTACAGCTATGGCGGCTATGGCCGCTGCTACCCTATCGCTATGGCTAAGCTTCTTCTCGCCCACTTCGTCCTCGGGCTCACTGCAGACCACCTCGCACAAGTCGCTATGGCAGCGCTTCCGCATGGCTTACGCAGGAATGAATGAATGGCTGGTCGCTGGCTCTCAATTTATACTTCTGTAGCTCGTTGGTCTGGCCCTTTCCCATGCCCGTGGTGCACACAGTCCCGTACGGTACTTGCTGGACTGGACTAGGACTGACTGGGACTGCTGACTCAGCATGGGTAGACTCCACCACTTGCACACTTGCCTCAGTCTAAACGTGGGCAACTTCGAAAGGCCACTGCTAGGACCTTCCGGAAGGCCGTGGACTTGGCCTTTCAATACTGTGGCAGCTACGACCTTGACCTTTCGGAAGCTCTACAGCTACAACTTCTAGAACTCCCTAAGACTTCTACTTGACAGGCCTACAGATCGAACCCCTACCACTACACAGACCTACGACAGACAACAACAACTGTCAAAACACAGGTCACGGGTTCAAACACTCGGGGTTGACACAGATACTGTACACAGGTAAGGTGAGAACTAGGGATCGAGCCCTGGGATCTGCATTCGCTACTGCTAAAAGGTGAAAAGTTGAAAACCGTTTCATTCTGTGCGTATTTGTAATTTTCTTTTTCTGTGCACTTGTGTTTTTGTCTTCTTGTATATAAGAACGAGTGGGGTAGCCCCTGACATTACTGTATTCATCTGATTGCGGCCCTTACCGTGCCACTCACCAAATGCAGAAAAGACGAAAAAATATTGCGGGTGCGTCTTTCCTTGTTCTAGCTGAAGATACATCTTCCATTTTGCGCATTTGGCGAGTAGTTTGGTGATGTTCATCCATGTGGGCGTGTGTGACCTTGCCATTGAACAGCTCTGGACCCTCTACATGAGTACAGCTCTGGCCTCTCTACTCGAATTTGGCTACGTAGGGACGGGGGGGGGCGTGGGGGGGGTGGAGGGCCCGCTGCTTATGATCAAAAGATCGGCCAGGTGTGTTTGTAAAATGACAAACAACAAAATGATGAAGTGAAAACACATGCCCAATGCCCAAAACGACAAAAACACATATGACCAACTGGAAACACAGACTGAAGGCAAAAAACAGAAAATGACCAACTGAAAACCATGCTTACAATCCGGACGTCTGGATCGGAGTGAGGATCGTCTGCCTCTGGATGTCTGGGTTCGGTGTGGAGTCCAGGGCGTTGGATATCCCTCCCCCCACGCAACAACAACAAGAAAAGAAAATCATACAAAAAATTTGTAAGCATTGCACGGAAATCTCTTGGCTGAGGATAATCTCCAAATTCGTAGCCAAATCCCAGGGAATTTTTGTTCTTAGGGGTGGGGGTCAATGCAGACGGCTTGGAGCAGTCCAGACAGATGTCCAGACGCATGTCTGGATTGGCCCGGTCTACGGGGTCTGGCGTAACCATGCTGCAAACACATGAAGATGGCCTTAAACCACCAGTACACGGCCCCAGTCTTGCAGAAAATGTTTCATCTCCTACTCTGAAAATTGTGCACCTCGGGCCGACTGGTCCACAATGACTGGGGGGTACCAGTCAGACAAGAGAATGGGTGGTTCGGAGAAGCTTGGTGCGCAGTGGAAGGCCGCCAGACCAGGGTGTACTGGTGGTTTAGGGAACAAAATAAACAAAAAGACCAACCAAAAACACACATCCATCTCCCAGAATGACAAAAAGGCGAACCACATTGCCCTGAAATCGGCCTCGTGGGGCAGCGTTAGGCGAGACCCGCGTTACACTTTAGGCAGAACTTCAAGATAAGCCCTTACCAGATTGAGCACTTGACATGTTATCGATTTGTTATGAAGACACCTTTGTTCGTTCTCTTTGTGCCTTCGGTTCATTGTGAATATACCACAGTTCATTCCTGTGTCTTCAATCCCTGTGAGTACAACTTAGTTCATCCTTGTGTCTTCAATGATTGGCAGTACAACTGAATTCATTCTTGTGTCTTTGATCACTTTGAATACACCTAGTTCATTGTTTCGGTGTCTTTAATACTCTGTGAATGCAATCATTGTAAGTACAACTTAGTTCATTCTTGTGTCTTTGATCACTTTGAATACACCTAATACTCTGTGGATACATCTGACCGCATTCTTTTGTGTCCTCAATCACTGTGCATACAGCCTTGTTCATTCTTTGTGTTTTTTCTCTCTTCCCCTAAAGAGAACACAGGGTTATTATAATCGACTGTCTGCCATCTGCCCTCTGTCTAGTCTCTTTGCGTGTCTTCGAACGCGAAGCATCTTTAAGGGCAGATTCCCATTGCTGTATAGTGGCCATGCCTTCTATTCAGGGGAAGCCAGCAGTATGTATGCTGTGGGCTGGATCCTTCATTTCCTCTGGATTTGTTGTATGCCTTTTGGATTTTTTGTGAATATAGACTGGAAGTAGCCCCGAGCATTTTGTTGGGTATCCTCTAATGTGCAATGGTTTATTTGTGGTGTCTTCTTAGGCAGAAGTTGGAGATGAGGTGTGGGCTGGATTGGAAGAGGGTCTCATCCCACCTTCAAGCAGTGTGGTTCCCACATGGATGGATGGACCCAAGAGAAGAAGCAGCTCGTCTGTGCCACTGAATACATGTGTTGCAGGCGGTAAGTTGGAAATGCTTTAACCGTACTCCATAAACGAAACGCACGAAAAAACTGTAAAGGAGCTGGCAGGAGTTGGAAATGCCTTGAGAAGCTGCAATATATTACGAAGAAGATGACATAAGCACTGATTTCATGGCACTATCAACTTCTCCATCACCAATAGCACGGCCAGCACTGTCATATGGAGTCGACCCTTCCACTCATACGCCACTCAGTAAACAGAAACCTCCAAAAAGTGGCAAAAACTATGAATGAGTTGGTATGCCAGGTCTTCCTCTCAGTACTTTTCCTCCGAGGACTTCTCCTCAAATGGTTAACAGGTACCGCCACTTTTCACCCCCAGGGTAACCTTCACAACCCTGAAAAGTGCAGTGGGGATCATGTTTTTTGTTTTTTTTTGTGTTTTTTTTTTTGCCCTGTTTTGTTTTTGGTCAAGCTTTGTATGTGCCAAGTTTGGTGTTTGTTGGGTTCCTGGAGATGCTTGTTTTGGGCAGTGGTGAAAATCGACAAACTGAAATGCTGGTGAAATTTCATGAAAGTGCACTTTTGGCTTGCTGTTTTATATGTTTTTAATTATTTTTTTTCGGTTTTCTTTTTAGAATAAGTTAGTAAGAAGTGCACTCTACAGATTGGTGTGAAGTATGGTCAAAATGGCCATTTGGCTTCCTTATAAATGGGGGTGAAAATTGGGGGGTCGGTTAACCTTCTGTCCCCTGTCTACCCACTAGTATGCGGATGGGTGCTTGACGGCTTGATATGACAGGTGTCTGGTGGTTTGAGGAGACCACCGGAACGATGCTATATTATCCGCGAGTCTTAACAGCTCGGCTTAGCTTCTTATCCATCTTCAGAACTCAACAGAAAATTGCTGTCTAGCCACCAATATGTGGCTTGCTGGCTGGCTCGTTGACATGGGAATCACATGCGTTGAGGTGACGAAAAGACTTTGTCAGGGTGACTCCTCTGCAATTTGGTATCAGCCTATCAGGCAAGTCAGCATGTAGAACAAAGTCTGCATCAAACCCTGAACTCTGCTAGGGCGCAATGCCAAACGCAGATTCATCACATTTGGATCCTTGAATTTAATCTTTTGGAAAGCAACGCATGATCCATGCTTGCAACTGCACCGCGCGCGGCTCAGTGCGCTGTCCGCTGTCCGGTCAGGGACCTGCACGTGTGCCGTACAGCCGCACCATACAGTACCACACGGGGCCCGGCACTGTTGGGTGTGGCATCTTGTGTGCAGTGCGGTTTCATGGGATCTTTCCCTGCGACCCAGTCTTCATGGCAATGCAGCTTTATCAAAGCAGAACTGTACTTGTGGCTCGTCATTGTGACCTGCAAACAGGTAGAACCGTAAAACAAAAGCCAGGAAATCAGCCCCGTCCGGCATCCACATGTTCCCACACACATGCACAACGACAAGAGATCTTGGATAGTCAATTCACACCACACCAGATGAGAGAATACACAGCGGACCACGTTTTAGAATAAAAAAAAATAGAATTGAGATTAATCAATTCTAGTTAATCCCCCGCTCTCCCCAGCCAATCAACGCACTGTTTTCTTTCCAAAGAATCCCAACCACGTTATTAACACCGAGGAACCAATTACCTACACAAGTTTCATCGAAATATCTGTTCTTCTTCCTCCCTCGCCACTAAGCTCCAGCTATGGTGCTGATATCGCCCAACCTATCCAGCTTGCTAACACCACTCAACCCTCCTGCGTCCAACAGAGTCGTCTGCAGCCCATCAGAAATCCCCTGCGGATGATATGTCCTCACAGCATGGAGCGCAGCTCCCAGGATAAAGAAGGACTCCAAGTCGATGAAGAAGAGGTGGCCACCACTTTGGAGAGCACTACCACCTAGCAGCACTGCCCAGCCCAGCTATGGCAGTTGGCTCCCTGGAGGTGACGATGCCTCTGCGCAGCTGGAAAAATAACGCAGCAATGTCCAGCGCACTCCCTCCAGCACTTCGTGAAAACGCATGACGAAAAGAACCCCCTACTTCCTCGGCCTCCGCCTACCTCTATCCGACTTCCCTAGACCTAGAACACAGCAGCCACCTACAGACCTATCTGACCGTCCAAACAGCAAACATCCACGGCCAAACAATCAAGATCTGCCAACATGCATCTAGATGGAACCTAGACTAAGGGGGCCCTAGGCAGGACACACAAAGGAAAGACCTACGGCCTACTAGTTTCCAGAAGGGCAGAAAAGGACTAGACAACAAGGCTGAAAGGCCTAAGACCACAACATAGGGATGCCTAGCGACAGGTTCAAGTCCAATAAAGCTCGAAAACCGTCAAACACCACAAACACACTACAGGTCACGGGATAAAGTCCCGTAACGCCCAAAACAATGAAAACAGCAAACCCAGTTAATGTACAGCCCGCATGAGGAACTGCAATCCGGTGCACAACTGCTTTTCCAGAACGAAAAGGGAGAAAGAACTGCAACTGCTTTTTAAAAAAGGGGAAAAAAGCAACTGATTGCCTTTCCCAAAAGAAAACAATTGCCAGAGAGACAGAGGAGGAGAAGAGTTGGAGGAGGTGACGACAAGGGGAGATGAAGTGACGAGGAGGAGGGATGGAGGAGGTGACGAGGAGTCGAGGAGGGGACAAGGAGGAGGAGGAGGAGGACGTGACGAGGAGGAGATATGGACGCCGGAACGTTTTTTCCCATTACAAAAAACAAGTCACAGGTGCGCTGCGGCAGGCAGGGCGCTGGCATGTGACACACACACACACACACACACACACACACACACACACACACACACAGAGAGAGAGAGAGAGAGAGAGAGAGAGAGAGAGAGAGAGAGAGA